TTTCTCGATATTTTGTACTCTCTTATTATAGTGGATTGCTCATCTCCGTCGTGGACGTAGGTCAGTTGACCGAACCACGTTAAATGTTTGTGTCTCTTTTGGTAGATTTCTCTTTTGTTGTTGGATTTATCGTCGCTCAAGGTTTGCTTTGCTAGCTTCCGCATGACACCTGATTTTTTTCCGGTCCTAACAAGTGGTATCAGAGCGAGGTTCAATACAGGTTCATCTTGGCGGGTTCAATTCTAGCCGCAACATATTTGACGATAATCGTGATTTTTGTCTGAGAAATTTGACCAGTTTGCTACGCGCGTTGAGACAAAATTTGTGGTGGAGAGTTGGAGATGTGGCTAGTTGAAGGTTATGTTAAGAAGGTAGATCAAGTTTATTTTGTCAGAAAAGTCAGGCCAACGGGGAGAATTGTTAGGTGTTGTCCTGATTTTCTTACCATAATTTATTTTCCTATATCACGAAGGAAAGGACAACAAATTTACCATAATTGAGTTTTCCTATTCTTAGAAGGAAATATAAATCTCCCATATTTGGCGAGTCCCTTTTCTTGTAGAAAAAGGTTTGGACTTCTATAAATTGAGGATCCTCCCTTCTCATTCAACAACATCCACAATGTAGCCATATGGGGCTTGAGAGTCGTGTTTAGGGGGAGCTTTACGGGACAAGTGTTAGTGTGTCACTTGTGTTTGCCTCTTCGTGAGGTTGTTGTAACGACCCGACCGGTCGTTTTGAGCTTTTGCACTTCGCTCGCCAGTTCTCGGGCATGACTAGCCCCGTGTGATGTATTATGACTATGTAAATCATCGGTTTTAGTTTTAAGGATAATCAGAATAGATTTGGAAGAAAAATTCTCAGTTTGAAGCTTTAAGTTTAAAAGGTTAGACCAAGTTTTGACTTTTTAGTATTCGATCTCGAACTGGAATTTTTATGATTTGGTTAGCTCCGTTAGGTGATTTGGGACTTAGGAGCGTGATTGGAATGTGTTTTGGAGGTCCGGAGTAGAATTAGGCTAGAATTGGCGAAATTGAAATTTTGGCGTTTTCCAGTTGATAGGTTAGATTTTGATATAGGGGTCGGAATGGAATTCTAGAAATTGGAGTAGGTCCGTTGTGTCATTTGTGACGTGTGTGCAAAATTTCAGGTCATTCGGACGAGGTTTGATAGACATTTTGATCGAATTCGGAATTCGGAAGTTTTGGAAATCTTAGGCTTGAATCCGAGGGTGATTCGATGTTTTGATGTTGTTTCGAGCGTTCCGAAGGCTGGAACAAGTTTGAATAATGTTATGGGGTGTGTTAGCATGTTTGGCCGGGGTCCCATGAGGCTCGGATAAGTTTTGGAAGAGTTTTTGGAAGATTTTGCCGTTTTGAGCATAAGCATGTAATGATCCAAAGGTCCATTTTTAGTTCTAGAGATCGAAATTTGATTTCGAGACTTCCAGAATTTTGATAATGAATTATAGGAGTGATCTGGAAAGTTTGGTCTAATTTCATCAAGTCGCGATTGGGTTTTTGACGCGAAACATGAGTTAATTGTTTAACGAGCGAAATGGGTATCGCACTGAGCAAATGAGCTCCGAATTGAGTTTCGCTTGAAGGGCTATGTTCGTATTATTATTTGTGACTCATAGAAACACGAATCATCGAATTCCGAGTTCGTATGGTGGAGTTAGAGCCTTTTTAGTGAAAATAAATACTGCTGGTGCAGTAGGATCTGGTGCGCACCTTTGGCAACCAGATTTGGCACTTTTAGCGACAGGAATGGGGCTTTTAGCGACCAGAATCGTGTTTTATTGAGCTGTCTTGTTTTTTTTAGCTCATTCCCACAGTTTTGGACGAAAAGAACGCGGCTTGGGGCGATTTTTGAGCGAGAAGTCATGGGAAATCTTGAGGTAAGTCACTTGTGATCATTTCTACTCCATAATATCGAATTATCATCGAATAATCCGACTAGATTACATGTTTTTGAGGTGTAAATTGGGGATTTGGACCTAGGGATTTGAAAAATGAGATTTGAAGAATTGGAGGCTGAATTGTTATCGGAATTTAGTAATTTTGGTATGGTTGGACTCGTGGTTTAATGGGTTGTCGGATTTTGTGATTTTTATCGGATTCCGAGACGAGGGCCCGAGGGCCGGGTTTGGCCAATTTCGGGATTTTTGATGTAATTTGATAATTTTCGCTTGGGCTTTGTTCCTTTAGCGTATGTTGATGATAATATACTGATTGATTTGGAGCATTTGGAGGCCGATTCGAGAGGCAAAGGCATTGCAAGCTAGATTTCGTGCCGAATTGAGGTGAGTAATGATTTTAAATGCTGTTCTGAGGGTATGAAACCCCGGGTTGCACAGTGTCGTGCTATATTGAGGTGAAACACACGCTAGATGACGAGCGTGGGGTCGTGCACCATTGGGGATTGTGACTTAGTCCATCCCGAATGACTATTTTCTGTATAATTGGCAGCTAATTGTTTGATATTAGTATATTTTGGGCTAAATACCATATTTGGGCTTCGTACCAACTGTTTGAACCCTTAGGAGATTGTTAATGATATTTTCCTCACTGTTTGATTTCATACTAGTGCTCAGTCATGCTATATTTCCATTATTTTAAAAACTCAGCTATGTTATTCTGTTTTAAACACATTAATTGATATTTTCAAAGATATTGGAGGTGAGCTTCATATTTTACTGATTCCCGAGGGGCTTATGAGATTCTGACTGAGTAAGGCCGGGGGCCTGTATTGTGAGGATACTTTTGGGTCGGGTTGCACGCCGCAGCAGTGATATACTGATTATGATAATGAGGCCGAGGGCCTGAGATTATGCGCCACGAGGTGGCTTGATATTGATATAAGGCCGAGAGCCTGTTTATGATGCCACGAGATGGCTTGATATTGCGCTTGGGCCGTAAGGGGCCCCTCCAGGAGTCTGCACACCCCCAGTGAGCGCGGGTACCCATTGTGATGTGAGATATAGCCCGAGGGGCTGGTATGGTTCTGAGATTAGCCCGAGGGGCTGGTGTTGTTCTGAGATATTGCCCGAGGGGCGGATTTATTGACATTATGCCCGAGGGGCGAACCTTTATGTGCTTATCTTTCTTATTTACCTGTCATGTACCTGTTTAATTGTGTAATTGTGCCCGAGGGGCGGATCTTCTATGCTTATCTGTTCTAATTGCTTGCATTCAATTGCTTAATTGTTGAAAAGCCATTTTTGAAGAAGTTTAAACTAAGCTAAGGTGCTTAAGAGATTTCACATTCATTGCTTTCTTACTGGTTTTGTACTGCTTCTATACAGCATATTGATATACTCTTCGTGATTTCCTATCACTCAGTCTTCGATTATTTTTTTTACTCATTGAGTTGGAAGTACTCACTTTACTCCCTGCACCTTGTGTGCAGATTCAGGTATTTCTGAACCCGGTAGCGAGTATTGGTTGCTCAGAGGCAGAGTCATCGGAGTTTAGCAAGGTAGCTGCCCGATGTTCACAGCACTGCTTTTCTCCCTCTCGATTTCATTGGACTGTATTTAATACATTTTGGACTCTAGTTGTATTCGAACCTTAGTAGGTGCTCATGACTAGTGACACCCCGGTATCGGGCTGTGTTGGTTTTATTTCCGCAACTTATACTGTTATTTTGGGATTTTATTCCTATTAAAGACTTGAGTTTTATTATTTTAACTGCTTAGAGTGGAAGTGTGTCGGCTGACCTTGTCTTCACGAGAGGCGCCATCACGATCGGGTTTGGGTTTAGGGTCGTGACAAGTTGGTATCAGAGCCTAGGTTACATAGGTCTCACGAGTCATGAGCAGGGTTAGTAGAGTCTCGCGGATCGGTACGGAGACGTCTGTATTTATCCTCGAGAGGCTGCAGAATCTTTAGGAAAAACTTCACATTCTTGAACTCTTATCGTGCGTCCTTGATTCAGCTCGAAATATAACTCTTTGAATTCCTTCCACGCATTTGTATGCACGAACGAGCGCTCAGTAATAAATGTGCATCGATAGCTTGTGATTCCCTAATCGAGGGGCGAGATGTGATCTCTGTGTGTTGATGTTGGGCCAGTTTGGAGGACTTGAGGCCGGATTTTTGCCTATAGCTTGAGCCATGAGCTGTTGAATGCGCGAGCGCGTGTTTCTGGATCAATATGTTCGATTGTGTTATTAAAGGAAGTGATTACTGGATAGTTACGTGATGAGTGTGATGTGACTGTGAGATGTGTTCACATGAACTGAATGAGACGAGAAGGGTCTGCTGGAGGATAGAAGAACTATTTGGTATTTGATTTCCATCGTGATTTGATGTATAGCCCCGAGTTGTGGGTGTGATGAAGGATCTTTTCATGTTGCCTCGTTGGGAAGTGAAGTAGATTTCACGTTGTGATATGAGTTCAGACTTAGGAAGATTAAGTGACTGCGTAATATTTATGACGGTGGAAGGGTATAAAGAGATGATAGTTCGAGGCGAAGCAGGTGGGTTATCTCCTGCGGAGTGTTCTAAAGTTTGTGTGATCCTTATGTTGTTGTTGGAAGATCCCCTCCACCAGTGAAGTATACATGTTGCAATTTGAATTTTGATCGCTTAAGAGAGTGGGCTTGACTGTTATGAGGGTGAATGCGAGATTTGCAGAAGATTTGAAGTACTAGATGGTCTGTGTTGCACGAGCTTATGAAGGATTGAGTTTAATCTCACTATGGTATTATGGCAGTAATAGAGTATATGCATTATGAGTTATTGTGTGTTTTGTTCTATGGCTTTG